TTATTTAAATCGTCCATGATGCATAGTTACACTAAATCAGATGATGGAAAATGCTAAAAAAGTTTTATACAAAATTTGAAAGTGCTTATTTATATAAAAAAAATGTAAGTATCTGTATTATTTTGCTTGAATGGTTTTTTATTTTATAGAATATTCAAATCCATGTTTTAAATCATTTTTAAAATAGCTAAGTATCTGTATCTGTACTTAAATACATTTCAAAAGTATCTTAAAACTAACACATAATGGTAAATATGTTTGTGCAAGATACAAAATTTATTTCTAACCGCAATAGGTAGTTGTCATGGTAACTAAACAATTACTTAATTGAAATTAGTGTTACAGTATTATATTATTACCTGCCTAACTTGACCCCTTAACAAGTAACATTCAATAGGTAATAAGTAATATAATTACGTTAACGTACCAACTAAAAAGAAAAAAACTGGCTCACAAAATATGAATATGATTTTTTTTTTTTTATTGTAAGATTGCTTCTAGCAACACGCAAACACTGATAAATATGTCACGAACTTATTGATTTCATTTTATGAAATTAAGATTTCAAAAACATGTATTAAGTTTCAAGTGGTGCCCTGCGTTTAAAAAATACTAATAACTAATAAGTAATGGTATTTTTTAAATTTTGCCAACTGCAATCGTATAATTTGTTGATTTTCAATGGTTGAAATTTGGTAGTAGGTATATATAGATTAGGATATTAAATTCTTTTAATAATTTTAACAAAATATATCGATTACCTATATCTCTGTCACTTGGGTACTGCCACAGAAAAGGCAAAATTTTATTTATTCTGACTTCCTTATACCTACTATTTATTTATTCATTCAATTATGTAGACGTAAGTGAGTAAGTCCTATTAAAATATTTAATTACTTTAACATAATATAATAGGTATTCAACTAGGTACATATTTTAAAATAAAAACTTCTCAAATTAACTACAAAAACTTCATAAGCCTCCTCACAAAAAAAAATATATGCCTATTAGATAATTTGTTATCATATTCATACATAATGCTTATTAAGAACAGGATATAAATAACAAAGCACTTTACTTTATACAAAGTAAAGAAATTAAATAGACGTGTAGGTCATTATTCATTATCATCGTACTTTTTTTTTATAGAATAGGTATAGTAAAAAACCTTGAAGTAAATTAGCAAAATATAATTTTTAACACTAAGATATTTATTTGAAATATCTATTATATGAATGTAATATTTTAATATTTCTTTGAATAGATTAAATAAATAATTATAAATTTTATAATTGTATTGCTTAAGTTCATTTAGTTCATAAGAAATATTAATATGTTTGATTAGAATTATTTATAATAGATCGATTTTTTTGTTAAATAATTTTAAAACAGCAATTATGTTATCACAAATATAATTATTAGACACCTATTATTTTGTATCGTAACCATTATAAATATATTTTATTTTGGTCTAACAAAACATTACCTAATATTTAGATAAATTAGACGTCTATATTATAATATATGTTTTTTTTCGTAAGCTTTAATGCATAGTTACAACTCTGAATTTTTTTATTCTCAGCGACATATTTAAATAAAATTTTAAATTTCCATCATGGTTTGCAACCCAACTAATATAGCACAATAACCTTGAAATCAATTTAAAACATTTAGTACCTACTTGGGGAAAAATTTTTAAAACATTATTTTTACAATTAGATTGTACTTATTCATACAATACTTATACCTTATACACTTCAAGAAAGAGCTGTAAGTGCTATTATATTAAAATTAAAACTTGCTTGCTTCAATAAAAATGGGAAAGTAATTTTCTTTGATAACTGATTGTTCGCTTTTAAAATGTCTACTATAGTTTGTGACAGAGCCATCATATGTTTGGTCAACTAAATAGCAAATATCAAATTTTAATTAAACGTTTTGATAATATTAGATATGAAAAAAACAAGAATTCAAGTTTAAAATTAAACGTTGACGTAGTTAAAAACTAGGTTTGCATAAGAATTCTTGTTTTTTGTTTTTTTTTTTTTTTTATTGTTTTTCTTATATATTTAAAAAAATGATAACTTGGAACTTTTAACCACCAAAAGGCCCAAAAGTATCAACTAGATTCATTTTCTATCAGTAAACAGTAAACTATTCTTAAAGTTGTAAATCTTAGCATTGTGTCTACGATAATAATTCGTGTACCTACTACCTACACACACACAAAACGTTATTGTAAAATCAATACAGTCATCAGCTCATCGCAGATTTGTTCAAAATTTAAAATATTTAGGATATCAACTTATAGCGTTTAAGTAATACGAAATTCAATATTTCAACAAATTTTAACTATATCTAGTTATAGATAATGAAAATAAAATTAGTTATTTGTATGATATAATAATAATAGTAATGACTGATGAGTTACCTAAATTTAATATCAATGCAATAATAATAATAATAATAATAAATAATTTTATGAACTATGATACTATCAAATATGCTTTTATATTATTAAACTAAATAGCATACATACCTAAGTATATTTTTAGAGTCGATGATGCAAAAAGTTGAAGCTTTGTTGTCTGAGACGATAATTTGCATAAAAAGTATTATTTAAAAACAATATTATTTACGAATTTCTATATTTTACAAGTTGGCCACCTGAAAAATGCTTAGGTTAGTAAACCACAAGTCATAAACTAATAACAGTTTAATGTTCAATGTGACCAAAAAAAAGTTACGTCATATTTACTAGAACATTATTTAGAGTCTGGATCGTGACTCAAATGTTTATATTTTTTGTGTGTTTAAATTATAATCATATTGTTATCCAAATAATTAGTTTTCTTTTTGAGTATTTATATACAATAATAAATATGATATACTAGTATACTATAACTGGGTACTGCAGACTGAAGTAAAAAACTCTATTTTCTAAATAATTAGATATTAAAATAAAATAATATCACTACTTACTACCATACGTGAATAGGTAAAAAACACTAAATATCAGTAATAATATATTAATTATTAATTAATTACTCGCCTGGTAATTCACTAATACCACGTAAATTGAGCTATATTTTTTTTTAAATTTTCATTTTTACCTATTAATAAAATGTATCAATAATTAATATTTAGTAACTATTGAGCATATTTGGTGAATCAACTAGATCACAATCAACCTGTACATGGTAAGTACGAGTTGTACCTGTACGACAACATTTTTAAAATATATCATTTAAATGTGTACATTTTTTACAAACATTATCTTCAAACAAATCAATAGGTAACCTATTATATTTTAAGATATTAATAAAAGTTCGATGTTTGATATTAAATTAAAACAATAAGCCATCGTTTTTCAACTTTGTTAGGCTATCGAACGATTGAGAACGTTATACCTTTTTGGCCGAAAGAACACTTCAAATTAACAAAGATAAATTCAGTATACATAAAATAAATATTCTTGAAAAAAAGTCATAAATTAATAATTTTAATCGTATACGAATAAGCGCTTAATAATAAGTATAATTTATAATATGAATAAAAAATTTAAAATATGTAGAACTTTTAAAATTATGAAATATATATGTATAAAAATGAAATAAATATAATATTTTATAATGACAACTTAATTAATTACCTATATATCAATTATCAGTAATAACAGGATAGCTTAAGCCAACATACTCTAAATATTTTAATAAATTATTGGAATTTTTATTTCCCATATACCACATATATTTACTATGAATACTAAGTATTATATCCTTTTGTTTTTTTGGCATTTCTTTTTTTTTTACTCTGTGTCGATTAATATCCGGCTAATCCGATAAAAGTTCAATAAATATCAACAGATTATTGTGCTCATATTATCGACTGATTACAAAAATAAAATACTAGAGCGTTCTCAATTGTGTTACCAAAAATAATATTCTCAATCATATTTTACCGCCTTTTTAGTGTCACAACCCCCAAAATAGGTATAAAATATGGTCAAACACTTTGCGACCACCACATCTATATTAGATACAAATTTGAACAATTAAAATATCTTATCATTAACCAAACGAAATATATCATTTTAAATATAAATTTATAAATACCATGTCTAGTAATTTAAACTTGTCAAGTTTAAACAATATATCTCAGGTCGTTAGGGATTTCCATTAGCAGTAGAGTGCCCGTTTTATTGATGAGATATCTACATTTAATCGACTGCTTATTATTGTTAATAACATTATTATTTTTGTGTGTTATGAAACGATTAATTTATCGGGCTAATATTATTATTATTATTTTAAGTAATTTTTTTGTTCAATAAAATGTTTTAAATACAAAGGTACATTTTGTAAATCAGCGTTTTATTATTTTGACCAACGTGGCCCTTGTCAAGATGATCGTGACCCTCCTGGGGGTCGCGACCCCCTAGTTGAGAACGCTGCAATAAACATAATTTACCCGTATACAATATAATTGCACATGGAATATAAACAATAATAATAAATGGTCCTCATATAGAAGGTAAATGAATATATATAAGTAAATAAATTAATTATGCCGATTAAAATATAATTCAAGATTCTTTTCTTTAAACAATATTAATAAGCAATACCAATATGTATATATATAGGTGTATTAGATAGTGGTGAATATTCACTAGTCACTACTATCATATTCGCACAATATATTACATAATTAAATGATTACAAAAATGACCTAGGTATTACGAATTCCCCTACTTTTGATGTTTAGATAATTTTCCACAATTTATTAATTACTGGTGACGGATATTCATTTTAGAATTAAACTCATAATTTTATTGTTCTGGTAACAACTATTAGGTAATACATTTTTCTGGTGTTAAATTTGTTAAATTATTTTTTTTCTTGCAGGTATCATAGATGAAAACCTATAAATTATTATTTTATTAACAGCAATATTTTGTGTTGTAATTGTCGCTTTATTGATAATTATTTTTGTTTGTGTATTTTTTTATTATTTTCATTTTTATCGATTACTCAATATCTACCAAAAATTGCATTGACAGGTACGTCACACTTAATAATTATCATTCATAAAATAGTAGGTAGGTATCTTATTAGGTATTTATTATTTTGTAAATTTACTTGATTCTTCGTATTTAAATAGTAACGTAGACATAGTGAAATAAATTTGGTTTTTTTTTAAATTTATTTACATCATATAATATTGTAAATATTATAGAAAATCTTGATGAATTCGTTTTTAAAATGTATTTATTAATTTTAATATACACTAATCGTGACTCCAGTTTCGTTAAAGTGTTTTTGCATAAATATTTTATAGAACGTATAATGCCAGTTAAATAATTTGTAACGTCACTTGATTTTGAATAGATATTGTAGGTTAATTACTACCACTTACAAAAAAATATATGATTAAAACTTTATTCGATTTAAAATAGTTTTTAACGTTAGGTATATTTTTACAGATCACTAACACATAATGTTTTGTTATTTTCACTTAACGTGAAATATATAGGTATTAAATGAATACTGTAAATACAAAATGACAGAATTAAATTGAAAAAAAAAATTATCGAAAAATAAATATGTAGATATGCATTCATAATAAAACTTTTGAATTCAAATACAATTTAACAAAACTAGTAGATAGGAATTTTATATATGTATACTGTATAGTTTATATTTATAAAGTAGGCGTATCATTAATATTTTACAAACATTTATTCATTTTAATTAATGCTAATATTAAATAAATAAAATTAGATTTAATGGAAATATCTATTGCAGTTATCTAATTATGAAATATGAATTAATCAACCTCAATACTATTTTCTTAGAAATAATCACATTACCAAGTACCTAAAAATAAATTCTGGTTTCTGAAACAATCGGAATCCAATTAATTCACCTTAAAATTAGATTATTATTTCATTTTTAAATTGGTATTATATTGAATAGATACTCAATTTAAATTATATTAAATATTGTGTAGATATTTAAAATTTAATGGATTTATGATTTTAACTTAAAAGTGCATTAAGTACAGAAGAATTTAAACTCTGTTTTTGTCAATGTGTATTAAGAAGAAATTAATTAATAATAATTATTAGGGATGAAGGTTATCGAACTTATCGAACTATCAAACACATTAAGATTCAAGAAAATCTAACAGTTCGAACTTTTAAAGTTTGTTAGAAATTAATAGTTATTCTAAATCAAATATCTACCTTGAATTTGTATATTTCGAACAGTTTAAGAGAACTCAATTTCGATATCGATACCGATTATACTTAACTACAATTTTTATTTTTAAAATAGCCCTACTATATAAAGTATAGAGAATAGTATTTTCCCGTATTTTTTATATTGCTCTTATTGATTAAAAAAAGATGTATTTTTAATAAAATTAAGATAGATTAATAAAAAAAATTTAAAAGTTCAATTAAAAATTGATTTAAGTTCGAATTCATATTTGAATAGATCGAGAATAAAACGAAGTTTGAATTAAAATTTCAGATCGAGTTTATAAACATTGTACTTAGTTCTACTCATTTCTTATAACTATTAAAATATTAGGTATTATTTATTGTTAATTATAGTTTATATTCTATACACACAATTCAAATAAATTATTTAAAATTATTTCTTCAGGTTATATGGAAAATAATGTGGGAGAATTCTAGAATGTCAATACTTTTTTTGATCTTCTCCTTAATCATTTGCTGCACATCTTCAGAATTTATTGGTAGTAAGTAATAATTTTTGTAAAACATACATAAAATTGTTGTGTCATCATTTAATATATATATACTGCAACCGCACGTGTCTTAAGAATAAGTAATAAGTATATAAAATATTACACTTAAAATTAAGTTCTTACATTACAAGATATAAAGTAGAAACTTTTCTATATCTTTAAATTCTATTATGTACTTTAATAATATATATATATATATATATATTTGTCACCTTGACCCATATAAATAAACGACTAGAATCACCACTTTTCTTAGTTATTTATTACATTTAAAATCAATTCGCTGATTAATATTACCTATTAAATTAATTTTGTGTACCCATATATTATTTTTTTAGATAAAGATTGTAGCAAATACGAATTTAACTGTGGGAATGGTACTTGTATAAATAAAACAAGACTTTGTGATGGCGTTAAGGACTGCAGCGATAATGGCGCTGATGAAGTTGATTGTGGTAAATAGAGTAGTGTCTAAATTCTGCAGCATTGAATTTATATATAAAAAAAATAATAATAAACTTATTTTAAACTTATTTTAAACATAAACTTTAAATTATAACTCATGAATTTAGATTTTATGAAAAATTGTTTGGCGCCTGATTTCTTTAAATGCGACGATAACAGTAAATGCTTACCTATTGAGTTTTTGTGTGACAAGTCATACGAGTGCCCCGACAAGTCTGACGAACATCATTGTCATAATGTATGTATTGAATCTAAAATTCAGAAAAATTATTGTAAATTTTATTACATTATTTTATAGTCATCTCAAACACAATCATGTCTGGAAGGGCGATTCAGATGTTCCGATGGCACTTGCATTCCAAAATCTTGGCATTGTGACAAATTCATTGATTGTCACGATGGTAGCGATGAAGATAAGGAAAAATGCAGACATAAGGTAAAATCATTTTTTTTTTTTTTAGGAGGAGTATTTTCACATTAGAAAGTCCTTGTGTTATTTTATTTTATTCATATTCTATAATTTTGTATGTCATAGGTATCATGTACCAAAGGCTATCTATGCAACAATTTCAATTGCATTTCCAAGTTGTGGAGATGTGATGGAAAAGACGATTGTGAAGATGGTTCAGATGAAACTCATTGCGGTATTAAATGTTTTAATCTAAATAATTATTTTTATAATTCAACCATATATTTATTTTTATTTTAGATATTCAATTGATTGAACCAGAAAAATGTTTGATTGAAGAAAGGAAATTTTTATGTCACGATCATAAAAAATGTATCGACGTTAAAAACGTTTGTGATCATCAAAGTGATTGTTTGGATGCATCAGACGAAGGTGGCCTTTGCAATAATAAAACCGGTATTTATTTCAACATAATGGATAATGATAATATTTAACCGACTATATTTATAAAAAAGAATAACAATATATTATAATACATTTTAATTTATGAATCTAAGTATATTAGAAATATACTTTTACCTCGGCATGGACTACTTGTCTATTTTTCAAATTTTCTGTAAATTTGTAAATTTGCACTGTATTAACATTATTTGTGTTTTGTAAAAGAAAAATGTATAAACAATTTACAATTTTCAATTTTGAAATGCCTATAATTCGCTTTAAAATTAAAATGTATACAAAAAAACCTATACGAGATTCACTAATAATATTTTAATAATATAATATTCTTCAAAAATATTCTTCTATTATTTGATAATATTTTTGATACTTTTGAATTTAATGATAGGTAAATTACTCTAATATTAAACATAAAAAAAATTAGGTTATTCAGGAAATACAATTTTCTATGTTATGAGTGTAAGATAGTGTCGATATACGTGAATGTACCTACCTAGTTCTAGTGTGTAGCTGTAGCATCTTAAAGACGATGCAGTGCATTATTTGTTTTTCTCTTTTTAACTCACGCTGCCACGCGCAACATAGCAAACTTGCGTTAATTTAGAGGACGTCATACCAGCACATGTTATCTCCGTCTTACATACATACCAACATAGCAAATTTTTGTTCTGCAAAATTCATTTTATGTTGTTAGTTTTAATATTAGAGTAAACTTACTTTTTATCAAAATTAAAGGTAAGAATTTAATCTAGGTGTCATCATCACATTGACTTTTATTAATATTTTAATTTTAAAGTGAGTTATGAGTAGGTAGGTATTTTACATAGCTATAACTTAGTTTAAAATTAAAATATCAATAAAAGCCTATGAGATGGCCTAGATAAAATTCTTATCTTTAAGTTTAATAATAGGTAAATTATATTATAATATTAAAGCTAACAAGTAACAACATAAAATGGATTCTGCTAAACGAAAATGTTGGTGTGTTGTTTATATGTAAAACGGAGATTATATATAATATGGGTCTTCTCAAAACCAATTTTGTATTTTTAGATTTAGTATTAAAGTAAATCGATCAATTATAAAATTTAATTAGTACGCATTATATGTCCTCTATTGATTTTCTTTTTACGATATTTCAATTTTTGTGTGAGTTTCTTATTTATGAGTATGCTAAATGATAGATACAGTTTAAAAATATGTACTCTTTTTTGGCTTTAAACTCTAAAATATCGTAAAAAACTAATTTATAAACAAATAATGTTTTTAACTTTAAGTTTGAAGTTTGATAATAGGATAAATCCTCTAATAATAAAACTAATAAAACATGATTGGTTATGTTGTGCGTAAATTTGCTCTGTTGCATGTGAATCAGAAAAAAAAATAAGTAATGCGCCGACATCCTTTTAAGTAAACTTTTTGATGGCTTACAAATAATTGATAGCGGCCGTTTCTTTTTTTCCTTCGAGTACCACCAATATTATATTTTTATAAGTAATAGTTTTTATTAATTGTTGAGATATATTATAATAACGTCATAAACTAATGTATTTAAAAAAAAAATGTAATTTATTATTATAACTTATAAGTTGATAGTGTCAATGTTAGCAAGAGCACTAATTAAAGTCTATAATTTTGACAATCCGTGGAGTTGATATACTTATTTACATTGATTATTAATTTTTTAGGTTTCATAGTTGAATGTAACTCGATAAATTGTTCTGATGCGTTTGAATGTTTAAGAAAACCACACGGTGTTATGTGTGTGTGCCCAAAAGGAATGCATTATTTAAATAATAAATGTTCTGGTAAAATAAAACTTATTAAATAAAATAACTTGATTGAAACTATATTTGATATATACCTAACTAATAGATATCAATGAATGTGATCAATATGGCATTTGTGACCAAATGTGTATCAATTTGGATGGTGCATATACGTGCTCCTGTGAACCAGATTATGAACTAGTAGATAATCATAAGTGTAAAATAAAAGGTAAAGTTTTTAAATAATTAAAACGTTAATAATTAATTTAAATATAGAGTAGATAGTTTTTTTATTTTGTAAAATTTATTAATAACTCTAATTATTTAGGTGAAGATCCTGTTTTAATATATTCATCGTTACGACAAATAAAAGTTTTAAATTTAGTATCACTTAAAATTTATACTTTGTTTGATGATTTGCAACATGCCACTGGAATAGCCGCAGACAAATTTACTGTATACTGGACACTTTTTTTGGAAGGAATGGAAGCTATAGTTAGAGGAAATAAGACTGGGACTAAACCTGAAATTATTGTCGATTCTGGTAAATATGTTAAAAACAATACAAATTTTAAAACTAATTATAAAATTTTTTTATTAAATAGTTTCAATACAGTTAATTTACGTCAGCCTAATTATATAGGTAAATACTAAGTACCTAACTTTTGCAATTAAATGACATAAAATTTAATTTGCGATAAAACTGGCAACGCAAATATTTGTTTATATAAAAATTAAAAATACTATAATATCGATTAATACCTAAGAGCTATGATTATGTGACATGTTTGTAGGTCTTGGGTCGCCTGAAAATCTTGCTATTGATATTATTACACATAATTTGTACTTCACCGATGCAAAAATGAAACATATCGGAGTGTGCAAAAATGATGGTTCAGTATGTACAGTTCTTCATAATAAGAACATAGACAAACCAAGGGCAGTAGCTGTTTCACCTCTGGATGGGTATAATATTATGTTATTTTGATTTAAAAAATAGCTTATTTTATAAATATAAATAGTCAATGTACACATTTTTTCAGTCTCATGTACTGGACAGATTGGGGTGAAAATCCAATGATTGGTCGGTCTGGCATGGACGGGTCTTTACCACAACCGTTTGTTACAAAAAATATACACTGGCCAAATGGTGTTCATGTTGATTATATCGGGAAAAGAATTTACTGGGTAGATGCTAAGATGCAATTAATCGAATCTATTAAATTAGACGCGACTGATCGAAAGGTAAGTTAATAAATATAAATATTATATACGCAGATACGTATACCTATAATATTTTGATGTATTTTTTTTTTTAATATGTACTTATTTAGTTTTCATTATACATCGTTAATGATTAATAATATTATTCTAGGTAATTGTAACGGAATATGTAGATCATCCATTTTCCGTGACTGTGTTTGAGGATAAATTGTACTGGAGTGATTGGACGGGTAAAGAAATAAAAGTATGTAACAAGTTTACAGGTAAAGATAGCAAATCATTAGTCCGTGAAAATAAAAGCAGAGTGTATGGTATGCAAATTTCCCATTCTTCGCTATTCGAGTCTCAAGTATAGTATGATTTTAAATACAAAACTATAAGTTTTCCACACGGATATTAATTTTCAGATGTCGAATCCTTGTAAACAAGCAAAATGTAGTGACATATGCTTATTAGCACCAAAGATAGATATCAATTCTAAAGGATATTCGTGTGCTTGTCCCGATGATAAAACATTATCGCCAGATGGAATATTTTGCTTAGATGAGGCTATACCTCTTACACTTATTGTAGGTACACCAACAAGTATTATAGAAATCGAGCAAGAACATTTAGGCCGCCAAAAAGTTAAGAAAATATCATTGAATAATTATGTATCTAGCATATCCGCAATAACTTATAATTCATTATCTGGTATGTTACCGATATACATTTTTAAGAGTCAAAATTAATATTTTATTATTACAAGGTAACATCATCATCTATGACTCAATATCCAAAAAATTATTTACTTTCGACCTCGTTAAGATGAAATTATCAGATTTATTTGTACCAGAAATTAGTTCCATTAATTCTCTTGAATTTGACAACCGTGGAAACAATTTGTATTGGTGTGATAGGACTAGAAGAACATTGGATGTGCTAAGTCTCTCTACAAAAACACATACTACGATTTTTAAAGAAATTGAAGGTCATGTCCCATTTGCCGTTACTTTAGTTCCAGATAGAGGGTATGTATAACTGTTCAATATTTATAAAATATATTTTATATTTATATTAATGTGTATTATATTTCTAGTTTAATTATATTAAAACATTTATTTCAATCTTTATAGCTTTATGTTTATAGCCATGAAGGAAGATTCTCATATACATATCGATCGAATTGATATGGATGGAAGTATTCAATCTTTAGTTCATATAGTGGAATATGGATTAATAGGAGATGAAATTATTTTACATTTTGATTTGATTACAAGACTGCTGTATTTCACCGACTACAAAAATGGCATAATTGATAGTGTCAGCGAAGATGGTATTTATAATACAAATTATTAAACCGTTATTAATTAACAATTTTAAATTATAAAAAAAAACGTTATAAATTAATTAAATACATTTATTTTGTTAGGAACGGATAGAAAAATTATTAAAAAATCGGGATTTGTAAAAGATATTGTTTCAATTGGTAATGAAATTGTTTGGGTATCTCAAGGTTCAACAATTTTAAATTGGATTAATAATTATGATGAAAATCGAGTATCTAGAGCACTTAATATAGGTAATTCATTTTAAAATTCATTTTATTGCTTAAAATACTTTTATAATTTTATGTATGTAATAGAAAATTGGAAAAGTGATTCAAATTTATGTTTAACTGTGGCAAATGGGATTGACAAACATATTACACACCCATGTCAACAAAATAATGGTGACTGTAGTCATATATGTCTTTTATCTGGGAAAGGAAAGGTAAAATATCTCTTCAATGCAATTTTATTATAATTTTAATGACGCTTAAAAATGTTAATTTTATGGTAAAAAAAGGTATGTGGTTGTCCACCTGGATTGGTTTTATCAAACAATAGCCTAAATTGTACATTATTAGGAGAATGTAAATCTGATGAATACCGTTGTTATACTGGTGAATGTATTTCATCTCATTTCCGATGTGATTTAAAAAAAGATTGTCCTCGTGGTGACGACGAAGACGCTGTTAAATGTTTGCATTACACTGCAAATTCATGTCCAAAATCTCAATTTTTATGTCATGATAAAACAAAATGTTTGGATAAAAAACATTTGTGTGATAGCGTTAAAGACTGTAGTGATGGGTCTGATGAAACAGACTGTATTCCCCAGCATATTTGTGATTTAAGTAATATATTTTTCCAATTATCAAGTGAAAATAAAATTCCTACCAATAAAACAATACACTAATAATATTTTTAGCTAAAGAATATCAATGTACAACTGGTGAGTGTATTCTGCGCCAATTTTTATGTGATGATAATCTGGACTGTGCTAATGGTCAAGACGAGTTAAATTGTCTAAAAAATAGTTGTAATAATATTACGGAATTTAAATGTAATTCTGGACATTGTATTCCTGTAACATGGGTTTGTGATGGTGAAGTAGATTGTTTTGATGGTTCGGATGAACACAATTTATGTGGTAAGCTTTTTTTCATTGGAAAAAAATATATAAATCTATTCAAATAATATCATGATAAATTTTTATAGTTACAAAAAAATGTAAAAATGATCAATTTTCTTGCACTAATGGTCGATGTGTATCTCATAAATTCACTTGTAATGGTTATGATGACTGTGGTGATAGTTCCGATGAAAATGGTTGTCCGCCAAAGCACGAATACATGAAAAAAAGAGTATTAAAAATATGTAATGAAAAAACAGAATTCGAATGTGAAAACACACAAGATCATTGTATACCGATAAAGGCTAGGTGTAACGGAACATCAGAATGTAATAATTTAGAGGACGAATTGAATTGCGGATGCCAAAAATCTAATCTTTTTGATTGTCATAATAAGCGTTGTATTTCAAAAGATTGGTTATGTGATAAATACGACGATTGTGGTGATGGGTCAGACGAAAGTCAAAAAGCTTGTGATATACTTTCTGAACATTTATCAAATTCAGCAGTTTTATCAAAAGATTGTGATGGATATTTATGTCAAAATCAAGAATGTATTCCTTTAGATCAAGCTTGTAATAAGAAAATTAATTGTAAAGATGGTACTGATGAAGGAGATCTCTGTGGTAATACATATTTGTTATACCATTTATGCTTCTACATTAAATGAATAACAAATTAATCAATATAAAACAAATAATACGTTACTTAAGCTTATTCAATGATTAATGTTATAAATTGTTATGTATATTTTTTATTTGATAAAAGGTTTATCATGTAAGCTCATGGATTGTAGTCATACTTGTCAAGAAACTCCAAAAGGTGGAATATGTACCTGTTATCATGGTTATAAAATTGGGCGAGATAGCAAAACTTGTAAAGATATTGATGAATGTGAAAACGATAATTTATGTACTCAGTATTGTACAAATTTGGATGGTTCATATAGCTGTAGTTGTTTAAATTCCGATTATGTTTTGCGTGCTGATAAAAGTTCCTGTAAAGCATTTGGCAAGTATTTGGTTCTATCATGGTAAATAATAAAATATATTTTAGTGGAGCCTATTATTTTTCTGAAGATTAATTTAAAAAATAAACAATTAGATGTATGAGATTGGTAATATAAACAATTAGCTGTGAATTTGTGAGGGGAGTATATACCCAGCTATAACACTCAACTAGGTATATTATTTTTAATTACTTTTTAGGACCCACAATGGATTTAATTTATTCAAACGTTGATGAAATAAGAAGTACTTCTGGTGATTTTAAAGAATCAAAATTACTTTTTTCAATGCCAGGAATTATAGTATCAAGCCTTGATATCGATATTAGAAGAAATCTTATTTATTGGACATCAAGTAATAAAAAATACTTTTTTCAGTATTTAATTTTTATTAATCTAAATAACCTATATGGCAATATAGTAGCTCATTCGACAGTTAACCATAATTATTTCAAAAAAGATTAAAAATTACTTCTTATTCTTAAAAATCAAGAGACGTATATTTCTATTTTTTTTTTTGCTCTGTTAAAATAATCAAACAATTAAGTGATTTTTTTAATTTATTAAACAACTTGTTATTGATTAAGACTATGATTAAAAAAAAAAACAACAAATAAGAAAGAAAACCATGAGGGAAATGGGAAAAAATGTACCTAGTAAATATAATATTAATGAATGTTAAATGTGTTGAATTACGTTATAGATTTCATTTTTATATATTATATTGATGAAAAATTAAAATACTTAATAAAGTAATATATTAAGTTAAATAGAGATTTTGAAATTTATAATATTTTTTTTAAATGTAAAGCGTGAACTAAAATAGATCTACTTTTTAATTATTTTTAGAACAAGCTGGCGTCCTTATTTGCATGGATATGCAACAACAACATAAAGTTTACATGACAGAATTGTTACAGCCTACATTAGTTCGTATTGATTGGCTCACAGAAAACGTTTACTTTGTACAAGATTTTAGAGATATTGTTGTATGTAACTTAAATGCTAAACGTTGTGCTACAATATACAGTGCGAACATCCATACAACAATTATGGCTTTTGAAATTGATCCTCATTCTGGGTAACTTGTTATTTATTTTAAATCGAATATAATTCGAATTATTTTATTTAATTAAAATGTATAGATTAATGTTTTGGTCGGAAACTATATGGGCTATATTGAATACACCTACAACCATAATTAGACAATCTGATTGCAGTGGATACAATGTAAAAACGATAATCCACCAAGGGTTACAATATGTTACTGATTTAGCTATAGATCCAATTAAACATATGGTATATTGGGTTGATCAAGTTAATTCAACAATCGAGAGAGCTAATTACGACGGAACTAAAAAGACGGTGTTGGTTAATGCGATAGAAGTAAGACAGTTAATGCACATCAGGCACTATAATTGTTGAGCTATTTTTGTATACTGTTACTTGTGAGTACTATAAATTAAAAATTATTTAATTAGCATTTACCTGAAAAAATATCATTGTACGAAGACAAACTCTTTTGGACTAACCATGAAACCGGGTTCTCCATTTTTAAATGTAAAGTTTTCGGTACTGAAAATGTCCATTGTGAATCAGTTCCTGTTCAAGTGTTTGCTACCATCGAGATATTCATGATAAGCCAACAGGCCAAACAAAGAAATGGTATGATGATATTATCAACTATTTGTCCTATATTAAGTTAAGGTAGCATAGTTATAAATAATACAATAATAGATTAATTATTTTATCAGTACATTAAAAAAAAAAATTACATTAGGGGGAGATGAAAATTATGTTAAAATATTTATTCGTATCATGAAAGTATGTTAAATGAAATATTTCTATAGAGAATATAAAATTCACCGCACTATTACGACACATAGCGATAGTATTAAAAACGACACCTAGCTTAAACATTAAATTGGGATCTTTTCTGTTTACCGCTTGTATCCTAATTAATTGTGATAGTATATCGCGGGTTGCAACTAATCCATAAAAATTACTTTTTATATTATTATCTAGCATTTTTTTTTTCATTAATTTCAATATTTATTTAACCATTTTTTAAATAATATGTTATACCATTGATTATACATCTATGCTAAATGAAGAACTAAGTCCCCAAGCCCTCCTTCTAATTGCATCTATACCAATACCAATACCATCATTAATAAATCATAATTATTATTTATTAATTACAGTTGTATTTATTATCATTTTCAATGAGACAAACATTTAAAGAGGATTTTTATAATCTAATGTATTTAATATTGATTATTATATTGGCTATAACACTATTGGGCCTGGCTTACCTTTTTCTATTCAAAAAACGCAATACGATTACGCCCAACTAATGAGCACGATCGAGCCCGTTTTACCTTTTTACCTGCATAAAACGTAACACGATTGCGTTCCAATATATATTATATGTGTTCCTAATATACATAACATATACATAATCAGTGGCATATATAGGAATTATTTTTACTATGGGCTAATTTACCATCAGCAAGGTTGTATATACAACTGGAACATTTTTTAGGTGGCCGAATCAGAGTGGTTTTAATTATAACATAAATGATATAAATAGAGGAATTTTAATTTATAAATACATATTTATTATTACATTATACTTCTAGTAAATTATATATTTTCCAAGGTTTTGAAAGGTTTTGATTGGTCGTTGCAATCATCGATCACAGAGACGCAACTAGAGGGGTGCAAAAGGGTCTTAAGCTCCCCTTGGTTCAAATTTAGCACCCTTTATTTTTTTATCCCCAACTATTCTATTATTGTTGTAGTGAAATTCAATGGCTCTGTGAGATATAAACAGTTTTAGCTCCCTACATTTTAGAGTTGCGCCTATGATCGACCATCGTATCAGTCAGAAATAAATGTTATACCTTAAAAGCAACGTAGATACACGCCATAGTCGATGATTTTGTAATATAGTATAACTGTATGTAAATAAAGCAAAATGCATAATAAAATGTTTTGATTGAAACTGAAATTTCACTATAGACCCGGGCCTAAGGGGCCCCCTCTAATATGTCATTGTACATAATATTATATTCTAACAATTTTCCAATATACTATTTAAAAATCGGACTTAGTTTCCCAATATGTATAACCAGGTATTTTAATGCGTGCGCTTGAGCAATCGAGATAATATTTTATTGTTAATATATTGTTAACTTTTATAACTTTTTATAGTATTTTATAATTTATAAATATATTTTTAATTCATTTGTATATTTATTAGTTTTTTTTTTAAATCAAGTTTTTTATATTATTTTAATGTATTGCTACACGTAATTATTTGAATATTTACAATTTTATATAGTCTAATTTATTATACGCTGGAAAGTTTTGAAAGTTTTGTTTATTTTGAAGATATTTAACAATTTTTTATTTAAATAAGAATACTTAAAAATATGTACTAAAACTCAATACATTTTATTCAACCTAAATAATGATATTCGCGTGTAATTCGGAAATACTGATATATATATAATATGTTAAATAATATATAATATATATATATATATATAAAACACATACATATATTGGAATGCAATCGTGTGCACCAATTATATCTACGGCAGCAATAAATAGATAAATCCATAAGTTAAACTAATGTATTAATCACAAATCTTCATAAAAACAATAAAAAAATCATTTTTTAGGATCAAATGTTTGTAATGATGTTTATTGTGATTTTATTTGTACTTCTGGATCAAGAGGACCGATGTGTGTTTGTGGAGATGGATCTCAAGTCGAACCAGGCAATATTTGCGATGTAATACTATATTTAAATAAAATAACCCATGCAATGGATCGCCTACAAGTCACCCGCGTGATAATTTACTGAACGATTATTCACCGCCAACAATTCACCGCGTGTACAATTTTTTCACGATTACAATTAGCCGTGGCAAATTCAATAAATTAAAAAACATAAAAATAGTGTTTGCATATATATGTATTTACATACTGTCCAAAAAAATTAACATTACAATAAATTATTACATAAACAGTCAAACATTTTACTGAAAATTATAGGCTATGCCTCTTAAGTAATCTTCTAATATTCTATTTTGACAATCATCACTAGGATTAGGATTTATATGCAATACAAAATATACATTTGGTTCATTAAAAATATGCAAAAATATCTAATTAATAGTATATACGCTAAAAAATATGAAATATACACTTAAAAAACAAAAAAAATTTTAAATGTATTACACAAAAAATTTACATGGTTTTCTAAATTTTTAAAACTGAACGATATTTTGTTTGACTTTAATATGTTCTTCACTGAGTGTCACATATGATCAAAACGTCTAGTAACAAAATATACCATAAAACATGCATTTTTCGCGTTTTTATAGTCGAAATATGCAATAATATTGCATTTTGTCCAAATATGCAAAAATATGCAAAATAAAATTACTACTATTTATCTCATCATGAGGTGATTACTGATAAAAGCAATAATTAGAAGTTACAAAAAAAACATTGTTGCATATAAATCTTAGCCCTAGTCATCATACACATTTTTTAATCTTTCAAGTCCTTGTATTTTGTACACCTAGTGAATTGTAAATGAGGTGAAATATCTGAATACTTTATGCAATATATAAATGTCTTAATTTCTTTTTTTTTTCATTTACATTTTCCAGGATGCGGGTCATAGAAAATTACCTGTTTTTAAAGATTTAGATTACAAAAAAAATATGATTTCAATTTATATTTCTATATTTTTAATTGTAACGTTGTTATTAGTGATGTTGTATTATTTTCTATTCTATTCCAAAAATAAATCTTTGGGCCATCTAGTATCTAGGTAACATTTTTAATTTATTCAGTAAAAAGATCATAATTTACTTTTTTAGTATACATATCATATTAAATTATTATAACTTATTATATTTGTATAGATTATTTCATCAGCCTTTAACAAATGTCATTCAAGTTATTGACCAGAAAGAAGATGAATTAAATTCAAGATATAATGTTTATGAAAATCCTATGAACGAAGTAATTATCAAAAAGTATTATAAAATACATTTAAAATTCTTAAATGAAATTTAATGTGGGTGTTGTGCAGAGTAATTTCAGTCAAAATTCACAATAAAAACAACTTTCTTTATATATTCTTCTAATGTGATAAATATTTAATTTATCTTAAAGTTAAAAAGTAAAATGTGTAACCGAAATAATATTAATTTTATAGATTAGACATTGATTTTATACATAATAAAATCAATGAGTAGACTAAATAAATAATATTTTAAGCTTTAGGAACGATTCAAAAAACATTTTTTTTTTTTAAATTTCAAATTTTTATATTACATGAATTATAAGTATAAATTAATTTAATGTATTAAAGAGTCATGAAATAAGACATAAATCAAGGAATAAAAAATTCTCTCGTTGGAGGAATTTTGAGCAAATATTTTTTAAATTTAAATTTGTAGCAATTCTATATTTAATACAATATCAATATATTTAGAATTGCACTTTGTTAGTTCAATTAATTAATATTTAACATTTCTTATATATTTTACTTGAATGTATCTAAATTTAAAATCAGATGTATAAACAATTTTCTTTAGAGCAAAATTAATAAACTTTTAACAATATATTATATAATACATAAATTATTTAAAAAAGTAATATACGTATTATGTTTTTGTCCCATTAAATTGCTTTTTAAAATTATGGATAATTGAGTGTAGAATAAACATCTTCCGATAATAGGTAGATCTCTAGCTCGTCTTGTAAATAAAAGATCTAATTATTCCTATGCCAATATGTATAAACTATATTTTCTATGATTATAAATTATGTTACTGTAACATATTTTACTTTTTAATATATTACTTAAATAATTTTTAAAATCAGTTCACAATTTTTACTACTGTGTTTTATTAGAGCCTATGATTTATAGTAAAAGTTGTCTAAATGACAATATAAACAGTTTATTATTTTTATTAAAATTAAGATGAAAAAATATTCATAATGAATTGATGATTTATTGAAATAAAAATTATGTTTAATTATTCTTTATTTTAGGGTGAGTTAATAAAAGACCATGCTTATGGTAGTGAGATCGTCTTAAATTATGATAGTGCACGTTATGTTAATGTTAATGGTTCAGAATTTCAATGCGATTCATCATTTACCGAGTGCGACGAGAACGAGAAAAAAAAACTTATTATGGTTTTATAAGAATAATAAAACTATAAACTTTATGTCTTTATTAAGGATAAATAATTATTTGTTAATTTTTATTTTTTTAAATACAATTTCATTTTATTCGTGTAATACCCACTGCTGTAATATTTACACAATAAATATAATTTGAATTATAATTAAAGCTATGAAAACTTAAACAAAATGTTAACAATTTAAATAATATAGGATAATAACAAATGCACATGGATACAAATAATTTTTGAAATCCCATGTATTTAAACGTCCAAATATTTTAGTTTATTAACTTTTACAATAGTTCCTTATTTTAGATTTGTTTAATTCAAAGTTACCCAGTGGCCAGTGTGTAATAAATAACAGTTACATTAAATTAGTGTGATTGTTTCGATATATTTAAAACTAATAATAACTAATAAGTATAGTTCAATTTTTTTTAAGAAAAAATGTGTGTAATGAAAATGTTAAATTAAATATAGGTACCTAATTGTATTCATATTTTGTATCTATATAGGTATATACATAATTCTTTATATGTTACTCTTAAAATATAACCATAGAATGATCATCCAATTGATTCATTGTAGATTCGAAACGGTGAAAATTAAGCTATGTCAAAAGGTAAATTAGTCTCAATTTATTGTGGTACTTGAAACCATACATGTCATGAACTCATGAATAATGCTAGAATTTATATGCAATATATATATATATATAATAAAATTCATATCGAATTCACCTATATATTTTAAACTATCATTAAGTTAGAGAATTTTATAATTTTCAAAACAAGTTGAATATAGCTTATATACTTGAATATAAGTAGTATGTTAATTTAGTTTAACTTTTAAACAATCCAAAGCATTTTTAATATATTTTTGATTAAAGACAAAATCACTGACTTATGAAATTGAAATGACGAGCTTAAAAAGACAAAGCATTGCGCTATTAATGTATACTACTTACTAAATCTTTATACCTTTATTTTTTTAAATTCTTTAAAACATACATATTTTGTGTTTGTATTGAAAATGTACAATGATAATATGCATTATAATGTAATGGAATAACAAATTAAATATTTAAAAATATGCAAAATAATAAATAAATCATATGCATCAATACGAAGTGATTTTTGGAATAGGTAACTGATCAAATTTGTAAGAGGACAATTTTATAAAAGAATCCTGCTAAAAAAATACAAACAGATTCATACAAACCCTATCCTTACTTATATGTAGGTGAAATTAATCTCTATATTTTTTAATTATACATTTATACAAATATGACAAACGAATGAATAAGAATTATAAGATTGATTACTATTGGTAAGTACTAGAGCTGAACATCATTTTGACGAATCCGGATTATGGATTACAATTATATTATCTGAATTTCAGATCAATCCGTTTTATCCGAATTTAATTCAGCTACACTTTATTGGAGATTAGTAATCACTAATCAGCTATTTTTTCATAACTATACAACATGAATAAACGTTAATTAATTTATCTTTTAAATGTATACTAGAACACCGCTAATTTATTAATTCAGTTGTTAGAATATAATATAATTGACTAATTAGTAATTTCTATTCCATTTGCTGTTACTGACGATATGTAGGTAGGACTTTATTGTTCTGCTTGTCCAACATTCAGTTTTTTGTACTATTAAGTCTATGCAGTATGCTCTATATTGCAATGGTTACTTTATATTTTTCAGTCTGATACAGTCCTTGGATTTGTCTTTTAAATTATAAATCGATTTAGTACTTTGTAATTTTGTAATACTTTATTTATGAACACGACAGATCCGATTCTATCCACTGTTGAGTGTGGCAGCATATTTTTAGTGGTAATAAGTTCTACAAGACTACCTTTTATTGCCTTTTTGTCTTTTTACTGTTACAGACGACGAATAGAAAAATGTCTGTTATTTTTGGTTTTGGCTAGGTATATTAATAGTCTTATATTTCCAGATCTTGATATTTCGGTTGAAGATATCAATGGTGAACAGCTATCTTTACTATTCATACTATTATTATCAGCTGTCTTGGTTAATGGTTTAGAGATATTTAAATTTTGGAGATCATCATTTTTATCAACGTCATTTTTTTCTAATAATCTGAAAATATTATTCAATTTTAAATTAAAATTTATAGAAATATATTTTGTATTTTGTGTTTAGGAACTAATTTTATAGAACCTAGACAAATTTTAATGTATAAAATAAAATCTAGAACAATCTAATCAATTTCAACTTTTAAGTAACATTTTGATGTACAAAATGCAATATATACAAAATGCATTTATTATTATACAGGTATAAAAATTGTTTACAAGGTTTTATATCATATTCCGGATCAAACGAATTTTAACGTTTGTTTCAATCCGATTATGGTTTGATCTTTGATCCGGATTTTGTGCTCAGCACTAGTAGGTATAAATAAAGTGCTAGGTTATATAATTTGGTTACAGCCTATTTGCTTCCCGAGGGATGTGGACAGATGCGCCCGAAAGATAAGGTACTGCGGTATAGACACTGTCTGATATTAACCAAATCGAGTGACATTGGCCTTGAAAACGGTTTCCGGGGTGGCACGGCATACATTATCACTTAAATAAATAATATCAATATTATCATTGAACAATATATTGTTAAAAAATTAGTTAAAACTGTTGAAAGAACACTGAATAATAATAAAAAAAATATGCAACTATTGCAATTCCAAATTTGCTGCTCGTTTCTAGCAGTGTTTGTTTACATAAAAACCCACGAAAATCACGCGGGCAATGGATTGTTCCCGTTTTTATAATATCGTAACAAATAAGGATACACAAAAACATCTAATCATATTACGAATACGGTTTTAACTTCGAGAATTCAATACCTCATACAGTTCATACCGTAGGGGGATACAGTAGACCGTCCAGCTGGTTGGGTGTCGTTTCTATATTGTTCTGTGGTACTACCAGCTGCCGATTTATAACCCACATGCGCCCATTCGCATACAACGTTGCCGTTGTGATTCATGATATAGATTATTTTTATTTTGATAAATACTTAAATTAAGTAGATTAGTAGATTATAATTTATAATATGATCTACTAATTGTGCAGTTATTGTCATATTGACTAATTTTTATTATTCATACAATTATTATTAAAGTACTAATAATTATTATCTAAATAATATAGTTTAAATTTTAAAATTTTTTCAATATTTTGGGTTTAAAAAAATTAGTCAATATTACGCATATATAATAATAATAAAAGCATATAAAAATATTTCATGATAAGTTAATTAATCTAAATTTATAAGTAATTTTTTTTAAATATTGTACTCTGGTTATATTTTTTATTTCATATTCGATCCAAGTTGTACATGCAAATTCTATACGTTGCTTTTCTTCATTTCGTCTAGGTTTCACTGTGCCTTTATTTACTTCCTTTATTTTTAAATAAGTTTCCACTTGAATTAATTTAAAATTTTCAATAACATAAGTAATTGGAGGATTGTAGTTTGTGTAAGGTTGCACGATGCATACACAGAGAAGTGAGAGTCGTCATGAAATTAAACAAGATAAAATGGACCGATATTCGATTATATCGATTAGAGTGTAACGTAAAAATTAAAAATAGTTAAAACTGGTAATTAATATGTACAATAGTTTAAACTTTATAAGATAATAATTATTAGTATAGCGTGTAGTCTAGAATACAGTTTGGCAACGTTGTACAGGTTTAATACATTTTAATAAAAATATTTTGGGCGCAAATGGTTTGCACCGGATAATTTGTGTATATTTTTAAAACAGAAAATCAAATCTCGCCGAAAAAAAGGAAGTTTAGTAAATTTGGTTACAGCTATGTAATATATAATATTATTAACTGAAAAGTGAAAAAATTTAATAATTATTAATTACACTGAGTTTATTATAATTTTGATATTGAAGTCTCTATTTTCTACTCATTGAACGTTTATAGTGTAAATTACACTTATTAACTGTGTAATAATGTAAAGGTAGAATAGTGTAAAAAGTGTATTAGACATTAAAAAAATACTCAAATACACCATTTGTTTTTGTCGGGACTGAATTTATTCACTTTTATTTTTATTTCGGACCCAAAAAATGTCATTTGTGACTCAATTTACAAATTCCTCAAATAAAAATTAAAGCACTTCTTCTTGAGTGTCTACAATACATAAGAAAATTAATTTTTATAAATAATATTAATTTCCTGCAGTATCAAGTTAAGATTCAAAAAATTTCAAAAACCCAAGTCAATTGTACAGTAGTTTAGCGGAAAAAATATTAATACAAAAACTAATCCATTTTAATGGTATATTATATACTTTCAAATTTTAGTCTGATTAGACAATAGGTACATAACAACAACATAGATTAATAATATATTAATTTAACATTCCATTATTAATCATTACATATTTTATGAAGTGCTGGAGTAGAAAAAGTCACGGAGTTTTAAAATTAAAATACTAACACATAACAATAAAATATATAACATGATTACTATAGAAAAATACTGTTTTAAATAAAATGTAAAAAAAAATATACGTCAAATACTGTAGATTTAAAAACATTATTAAATAACATGAAATATTATTATTAGTTATTATAACGCTTGATAATGTTAGATGGTATTCGAGTTAACAGAAAAACGATGACACAAAGGACCAAATGCATGGAATTTTAGGGTGATTTTGGTATGTCGGCGAATCTGATTGGTGGAACTATAAACTGCGATGCAGGGTACAAACCGGTTTTGACCGTATTGTACTTCATTGTGTACAAAGAACACCTGCAAGCGTTTGATATATTTTTTCAACCCTCTATACAACAAAAATTCCGAGAACGCTGCCATCAGATAAAACCCCCCTATACCAATCTTGTTGTAAAATAAAATACTGTATTCATGTTGTGAAATTATGTCGATAGTATTATATCAATCTGTATTCTATAAGTTAAAATATTTTAAACCTACATTAAAAATTTT